GGAGGCTTTTCTGTACAGAGTTTGCATGTTCTCCTTGTCTTCACGTGGGTTTCCTCTGGGTATTCCGTTTTCCTCCAGTGTCCAGTATATAGGTGAATTCAATAAAACTAAATTGGCCGTAGTGTGTGTAAATGAGGGAGTTTGTGAGTGTTTCCCAGCACTGCGGGTTCACGAGTTAGTGTAGACTCAGTTTTGGTATGCAACTGGATGGTATCCCCTGTATAAAACAAATGCCAGAGTGAGTAATTGGTGGTTCATTTCACTGTGGTGACTTCTGATAAATCAGGGACTAAGCCGAAAGAAGACGAGTGAGTAAATGAGTGAATAGAATACGATGACATCATTAGTCTGAATAAGTGAAGTTTCACAAAGTAATTTCGAGAGGAGCGCATGATATGATTGATCGCAGCTGGTCTCTCATCTTTCAGATTATTCCAAACTCACTATAAATAGCCTGTCTGGCATCACTCCCTTATATTAGTTTTTTTGAAGAATTCCCCATCCACCCCTTTTCCTCCTTTACCAGGGGGAGCTCTCAAGAACAACCTGATCTCGTACCCCCTTACATGCTCACTGACCAGGCGGGAGCCCTGGGCTCAATTATCTCCGAGCTCGGGGTTCTCTTCTGGGACAGCATGCCAAACCTGTAATTATTATCAAGCAATATTTAAGTGTAAACTCTTGAAGTCTTAATGTCAATGAGCAGACACCACAAACATTAATGGTAACAGTTCTGAAAGAATAATGTATTTCCTAAGATTATTAATCCACCTTGGCACAAATCGCAATGCTCTTCATGTTACGTAACTCCAAACAAGAATTCAGAAGGCCCACCTCCCACAGACGAGGAGTGCCCTGCCACTGCTGAATCTCCTGTTCTACTTCTGCAAATGTCACCATGTCATCACCTCCAGGCTCTTGCACAGTCCTCACACTAAATGGCTTCTTCAAGAAGTCAAACCGCACTTGTCAGCTTTTTTTTCCTCTTTGTATCACAGTTTGACGGTCACGTGACAGATTGTGCTGTAATGCTCGACACACCTAAACTGCTGCTGCGTGTGTGAATGCGATTCTACACTGTTCCAAATATCTGCGGAAGCATCTGAAGTATGAAGGCCTGTTTACACCTTGCATTACCATCCATCTCCGGTTTTCCACAACAGCAGTATCGCCAGCATTTTTAGATTTTGCTTGCATATTAGTGGCAAGATTATTTAATACCATTGTTTTAGCACTACATATGACTGACAGACGAGTATTTTAATCAATAACACGGTAACATTTATGCTACAAACGTGATGTCATAACACGCGTCTCTGCCTACCACCAAAAGTGGTTTGAGTCATCATTTTTAAGGACCCCATTTGACCTGACCACCACCCGCCCGCCTTATTCTTTTTCCAAAATTACACAGAATTTCCCTGAGTGGAAGGGTCCACCTTACCACCTTTTGGGGGTGGAGACAAACTGTGCTTTTTTCCTGAACCACATCCTCTAAAATGCATTTCCACCTTGACTTGCCGCTGCCAACCTGGTTTCCAAGCAGATCCGCTCTACTTCTGGTTTCCTGCAGATTATACCCAGTTTTTCCCTTAAATGTGTACTTTTATGACTTTAAATCTGATACTGAGGATGTGTGGAAAGTGATATCACTGAAGGACAGTGAGTGTTTAACTTCGTGTCCTCTGAGGAAATGAGGAGGATGTCTGTTTATGTGTGCATGTGAAAGAGAAAGAAAAAAAAAGAGCAGTGTGAGCCATGTGGCCTTTTGAAACGTGTATGAGAGATGTGCATGCAGTTCGTGTTAGTGATATATGAGTGTGTGTGTTTTTTTTCGGGGCTGTCCCTCTACACAGGCAGTGGTTTGATCTCAGGAAATGGTTACAAGAAAAAAAGAAAAACTGAACCTCGAGGTGTGAACATGCTCATCCAAACACTTCTTTAAATTTCAAAGAATTTTGACAAGTGTTCAGTATGACTTCCTGCAGTCCATGATATAAATATACGAACACATTAATGGTGTAATATATCAAAAAATAAAATGCATGAAATTAAAAATAGGTATTATTAGGTATGTGTTTGAGTCAAATGTTCATGTTTGTTTTGTTCTTCTGGTAACATTTCCTCCAAATTTGAATTTGAACATTTTGTACACTGTATAAAAATGCAGGATTCCACAAGATTCATTCACGTGGTCCCAACAAAAATCGATTAGGTTAATGTAACAAAAATAAGTGGACACAAAACAAGGGGTATATCCACACAGACTTTTAATTTCAGTCTGCCTCAGCCAGTAATCAAATCTGATTTCTTTAAAAAACAGCAATTTTCACTGCCTTGCTGAGATACGATTTAAAGTAGTATCGAACTTAACAAGAAGCACTGCATTAAATTACATTTTTCTGTGCCATGTCTTTAAAATATGGAAATTAATCTGACCCCAGTATTTTCAATGCAGTTTCTGCATTGACCAGCGGCTAATGACTAGTGAATGCTTGAGTCTATTTAACTGAATGTTTTGTCATTACATTACAACATCATTGCTGTAAAAGGAACCTTATGAAATTGAAAATATTCACATAAACTTTTCAAACTTTTCGGAAACTGTCAATCTGCAGAAAGTAAAACATCTTAACCCTTTAACTGGCCCACCAAGAAACTAAAATTAGTTTGTTTTTGTTTTTTTAACTCTTAATGTCGCTTGTTAACACACTCCATGCATTTTTTTCAACACATCTCATAATTTCTAAAATATCAACCTCTTCCAAATGGTAGATATGTCGGTTTATGGTAAAAGTACCAGATTTAATACAAATATATGTAAAAATCTGAAAAGATAAAATGTAAGACCAATTTATTTTAGAAAAAAAAATGTTTTTGAACACTAAATCATCTTTTATTTTTCTGAATTATGAAATAAAATATTTCAGATTTTTAACATGTTTTCTTGTTTGTTTTTACAATAAAACCAAAATCAAGTGTAGTAGTGTAACAGGATTATGTTTGATTTTTTTGTAAACCAATAACACTGTCTAGTGTAACAGTCATTCTTTAAATGATTTTATCAATCATTATTTAAAACAGTCAAAAATTGGTCAATCATTTTGGTAAAGTGGAAAGTTAACGGGTTAAAGTATTGCATGTTAAAGGCTTTCAATACAATATATATGAAACATCATTAATTATTAATGTATCAAAACATCCAGCAACTGAAAAACACATGACAAAGGAGTTTGTCTCTTAGCATGGATTTAAATTATTGTAATGCATAAATCATAAACACTGGATCTCGGCCTGAAGTAGCACATAGTGCCCAGTAGACCACAATTAAAACACACTCCACGCAGGCTCGCTCACACACACTGAAACACACCACTTCTTGCCCATATGGATCCATTTTTGATATGATACTGAATAATTCTGACTGCGCTGTTAGCTTTTGGGATAAGCGTAAACCAGAGGGAAACCTTACGCTCAGTTAAGACATAAATAATAGAGCCGGGACTAAAACTCACACAGGCACCGAGAGATCATTTATATTGTAAGAGTGGATCACAGCGCCTCCTACAGGCCCACAGAAAAATGCTAGATTGAAGACTATGATTGATGTTCGTTATGAATTCGCGTTTGTGTTTCAGTCAGGGTATTTTATAATTTAAGAGGATTTGTATATTAGAGAACAAACTGTAATTTAATTACGTTTATGACATATATTGAGGTAAATGACTAAATAAACTGGCCTGTTTTGAGTCTAAACGGCTACATTGAGTAGGCTATAGCTGAAACTATGCAAACGTTCAACCCTTAATTAATTATAACATAGCATCCGTTTAAATTTCAGTGTTACAAATATATGAGTAATGCTCATTATTTTTTCACATCTTTCAGCTATAATCAATCAGAATCCATCCTGAATTCATATTTCATACAATTCCGCCAGTGACCACTAATGTTAATAACTTGCCTTTCCTTTAAACACTTCCTCTGGCATCAGCCTGAACTCCTTATTAAGACCAACATACAATACTTGAAGCCCAATCACATGAAGAGATGCAATGTATAAATACCTTGCATTAATTTACAGATTCTCTGGTTTCTTTACTATTTTTACTGCTTTACTAAATCTACTAAACAGTAGCTATTATGATTTGACATTTACACACCATTTAAAACAAAGCTGCCTATTGGGTTTGTATATAGAATCCTTTCAGCAATATTCACCCCAAAATGAAAATTTCCTGTTAATTTAACTCAGGCCATCCAAAATGCAATCCAGGGATCTTCTTTGCAGTAGCAAAAGACCTCTTAGCTGAAACTGTGGTCTTTTGTGGTTCATAATAGGCAAGCAGCACATTGAGTGTTCAGCTTTAACCTTAATCAAAAAAATACCTGAACCAGCTAATTAAGCTCTCACTAGGTATTCTAGAAACTTCTTGGCAGGTGTGTTGAAGCAAGTTGAAGTCAAACTATGCAGGGCATCAGCCCTTAGGGAGCGCATTTGGACACCCATCCTAGACCTTATCAAGTGAAAATCACTGGGGAAGATCTGAATATTATAGTCAACATTATTACTTTTAATCCACAACCAATGTCAATCACACACTTTAGATAACATGGCTATACTACAGAATATTTTATACGTTTACTTAAGTGGTCTCACCTACATCTTAAACATTAAATAAACAATTTAATCTTTTAAAGAAATAATCCTTTGTAAATAATTTTGTGGACTTTGGTTGCACAAAGGCATGCTTGATTTAGTGTTGATGTGACAAGGCTGCAGGCTCAGCTGAATTGAGGTAATAACACACTACATCAGGATTAGAGATGGGTGGAGCAGAAGCTGCAGCTCGTGCACCAACAGCACGTCTGGAATGCACATTTGCATTCAACCCCTTGTTGTGCCACACACTGAAGATATGCAAATTCAACCCTGTGATGCAAATCACACCCTAAGATTTTTTGCCCCTCTGTAGATAAAAGAAAACTAAAAGGTGACAAACATTTTACAGCATTTTATTGTACAATTTTACATGTTAGTTTGTACAAATGTTTAAAAAAAAAAAAAAAAAAAAAAAGTCCTGCTCTGAATTTTTTTTTTTTTTTACTCCAATTTCCAAATGTTTGTAGTGGCTGGGTAAACTCTTCTGGGGTGAAAACCCTTGAAATGGAGGTTATGAAAGGGAAAAAAAAAGGGATTGATGGTCAGAGTTTGGTCCAAGTCCAAAGACTTAAGATTCTGCGTCAGGCTTGAGGGTGGAGTCCGGAGGTCATGCAGGCTTAGGAGCGGGTGTACTTTCCCCAGATGTGCAGCATGAAGACAGATGCGATAAACAGCAGACTCATCACCAAAACTGGAACTGGGCCACTGCGAGAAACAATAGATGCAATTACTGCCAATTCTCCTTATGATCGTTACACAACAACAGTAAGACCGAGGGACCTCTAGTGGAGGAAAAACACTAAATTCAACAACCAATTGTAAAAATTCAGGGTATAAGATTCATTTTTGTCCCGCACTTGACTACAGCGTTTTTAGATTATGGGTTGCATTTCCAGTTTGAGAAACCAATTCCATTCAACACAACAGAAACTAATTATTTTGAAAATGTGCTATAGACAATCCTTATCAGTAGTGAAAAAGGAGGTATGCTTTGCAGTCATGAAAAATGTTACGATTGGTATTTTAATGCACCATTACTACAGTAGTGCTTCGTTAATCTTAGGAGTAACGTTCTAAAAATAGCCCGCAATAGGTGAAATCCGCAAAGTAGACAGCTTTATTTTTACAATTATCATAGATCTAGAAATACATTTAAGGCTGTAAAACCCCTCACTGCACCATATATCTAGTTTTCTCTGACACTGTCTTTAACATTTTCACACTTTTCTCTCGTTTAAACACTTGTGTAACTTCTACTTTTCTTTGGCCCAAACCTTTTCTTATAAAAGTGCCAAAAATTTAATCCACAGTTAAATATACCAAACCATATTACATTAAATTTGCTCATTTGTTTGCTTATTTAAAAATTGCTATAAAGTCACTTTCAAACATATTAAATGATTATGCAGTATGAAAATTTATAAAAATCTTATAGTAAAAATCCCATTTATAACACAATGGAGCTCAATACACTAGTCGAACTGGGCCTGCATTTGCCTTGATTTGCTCACCAATGTCTAGTGCATTGTCCTCTATCTGTCATGTGACAGTATTTACATTTTAAAAGTCTGGGGTCAAACCAAAGATTATCATGGACCAACTCCTGGCATGACCAACTTTAGCATGTCCACAAGTCCAAATTATGTGCCATGGTGAGCATTTTCCTCTGCCTTTTTGGTGCTACTGTGGGTGCCTTTAGCAGTGCAAAATGTTGTTTCGACATTATGGGGTTTGTTGGGGAGAAAACTTGTAAACATACAGTACAGCACTTCAGACACACTGCTAGCGACCGCAAATGTATGTATATTTGGCAAGCTGGATGCATTCTGTACTGTACAGGAGACATGGCACAAAGGAGATTTATCAACAATAGTCCACAGCCAATCAGGGCGCAGAACACAATGTGCAGAATCAGGACACAATGTGCTGTAAAAAAAAAAAAAAAAAAAAAAAGCATGTCAAATTGCACCAAAAAAATACAAAAATAAAAAATAAATAAATAAAAATCTGCGAGGCTGCGAAAGATGAACCGCGTTGTGGCGAGGGACCACTGAGCACAAAAAAAAAAATTATGGGTTCCACACAATTCCTTCATGGTTGAACACAAATGGATTAAGTTAACTTGGTTGTTTTTACAAATTTATGTGGATTGAACTAGAGAATTAAGTTGAGGACACTGGCCTTCCAGGACAACGTTTAGACACCCCCGGTTTAGATGATCATTTTCCTCGGTGTAATCCCTACAGTACAGTTATTTTAATCAGTAATATTGTGGCAGATATTCTTCTTTTTTTAATGGTCTACTGAAATTAATTTGTTTTCTCAAAGATGTTGCCTTTTAATATTCCATTAGGAATAATGCCTCATTTTTCTGCCTCATAGTTCACGGACCGTGTACAATTTAACTGAAGTTGATTCCATGATTCACACATGGCATCATGGGACATAAAATGTATATGTAAGATTTAAATAAAAAGTTCTGCAATAACTTTCTCCTCCCAGTGGGCCAATCAGGACTGCTCGCCTTGATCATGTGACAATACGAGGTAATTAGGATTCTAAATAGGAGAGTAGGACAGTGTTAACGAGCTAGGTGGAAAATGTGGGGCTTTATTAAAGCAGGAACTGACCATCCCTTGAGTCGCTAGGCAGCTGTGTAACCATGCCGACTGAAGGCCCACCCCTCAGGCTTTAATTGATGTGACCTTTTCCAGCGGAACTTTAATTAAGCTCAAAACACACAGACAGACACACACACACACACACACAAAACCTAAAGAGTGAAAAATACTTCACACACATTACTCCACAGACCCTCTTACTGGAGGAGACTCTTGACTGTAAATTCAGCCACAGTAGACGTGCTCAATAACATTCTCACACGCAGAGCTAATTCATACATATATCAAACTAAATAGATGTTAACAATCTAAAACAGTGCTTTAAAACACTAAAAACATCTCTGCAGATGGCTTAAAATACAGGCGCACACGCACACTGCTGTAGGAGGGGAAACGGCAGGGGAGACATCAAATAAAGACGGAGGTTAAGCCCATGAGGCCAATTTCCTGTCGTTAAAATTTCATGTTTATCCTTATAAATGCTAAACCTCTCAGAAGCCTCCGCCCCTCCCTTTCGTGTCACTTCCTGTTGAGCTGAGGGGATGAATTAAAAATGAGCGTCTGTGTTGGTTCTTTGTGCATCGAGTATTTCAGCTTTTTATTTTTTTCTTAAGCTATAAAAATGTTTAGCGTGTTTTCTCAGGTGGTGGATTTTGTTCTCCACACACCCACACTTTGTTAAAATAAATCACTATGACCAGCAATAATGAAGTAACAAAAATAAGGTATGCAAGCATAAAATGTCACAATATGATTTACTTATGATTTGATTTATTGAAGCACTGAATAAAATCTGAAAACAAAACTGTCTTTGTAATATCACTAACTTAATCGAATCCTGTTATTGTAGCAAAGTTGAGTCTGACAATTATTATTTTCAGAAAACTTCTACTTAAACTAGTGTTTGCAGTGGTTTCTAAAACAAAATCTGTCAGTGTTATCTTCATTCTCCTCTTCAGCGCTTTACAATTTTTCGCGGTAGCAGCTCTCTCTCTGTCATCCCAAGCCAGAAGCGCTGACTGAGTGATTGACAGCTGATATTAACCAATCATTCGCGTTCAGTGCTAGAGCAGTGGGCCAATAAGAAGAGCGTGAAGGCGGGGCACGCATTACGGACTTGGATTTGTTTATTGAAGCAAGTTGACATGACAACTGTTTTAAACCATTCCCGAGCGCTGTGTTTCGCGTTGCAAGTGAAGAGATGCATTCTGCGTGAATTTCTCCCGAATCCGCGAATGTGGTGAACATTTTACAGTAAAAACTGGTCGCACATAACAATTTTAAGCACTCGCAGAAATGCTCCCAAATATATTTTAAGGTCGCATAGATAAAATTTCGGGCGCATATGCGACCAAAATGGTCGCAATTTCGAGCCCTGTGGATATCCATTTTGTTAATGTACTAAATTAACCTGATTTACCATCCACAAACCAGAATTGAAGCGTCTTTAATATTTGAACTGACATGCGGCTGTGGTGATCTAGAAAGCAAAATTGCCAAAAGCGTTTTAAACTTGTAAAACTAATTCTTGATGATTGATGATCACAGAGAGCTAAACTGATCTTTTAATCTCAGTTGCTTTGCGCATGTCCTGTTTTACTCACATATCACTATTTATCATATCACGTCCTGATATGATTATATGCATTACGGAGGCATGGTAATACGCAGCTTTCAATTTATTCTATGGAAAACTGCACTCCTAAAAAGAGAGAGAGACTTATTGTCTTTACATTACCCCAATATGGCAGTGGACACACTACACCTGCACATAGTTCTGTCCAAACAGCTTCCGAATGATGATTTTTATCATGGGTGCCCTTTACGCACTGTTTAGCACGTTTTTAAACAGCACTGATTTGCCATTGTGTTCACATGCTCAACAGAAATGACTGTGATCGGCCGTGAAGGTTATCAGTTGACCAAACTCACTGCTGTTTACAGAGTGTAACCACTGACACAGGGACACTAGAGCATTTTAAAGGGTGAAGATCAGCTGGTCTGTTTATAAGCTGACAATTGATTGATCCGCTGATGAATCGACTGATCTTGACAGCTTTGAAAGTTGAACACACTCAGCAGCACTCAATTGTTAGTGGGAAATGAAAGTTTTTAAAATGTCACTACCAATACAACACTAATTTAAACTAATGTATGTATAACGCCAGTAATAAAAAAAAGAATCATTACATTTTTTTTTTTTTTACAAAACTACAGACATTTAAAAATGAAAGATTATAAAAACACTAATTTAAATTAGAATTATTTACTCTAATACTAAAATAACATTATTTATTAGTTTATTTAATAGGTAAACTTCTGCTTAATAATTGTCTTTCAAAAATAAGTTATACTACAAATAAATTTAGGTGTAAAATGTAGGCTTCATTTTTAAGTATTTATATATACACATTTATATAGGCTTCATTTATTTTGTCAGAAAATACAGGACAAATATGAAAAGTGAAATTACAATTTCAATTAATTTTGTTTTATTATTTTCTATTTTAATAAATAATAAAATGCAATTTATTACTGTATTGGGTGAAAAAAAAGAGACAAAAGTTAATTATTATAAACAAATTTACAAATACGATTTGGTTTAAAAAAATATTAACATTGCTGTTGTGGATCAGAGGTGCTGCTTAATGTTTGCAGGAACACATTCTTTTTGTGGTCTCTCATGAACAGAAATGAATCATTTACATTAATATGTTTACCTCGGTTTTAAATAAACGTAATGTTTAAATATTAAAAAGCAAAATACACATTAAAACAACATCTTACAGACCATAAACACATGAGCAGCTGTTTAGTGTGTTTTTCTTTTGTTTTTTCAGACTTTGCTCAGTCTTGGTCCAGAAAGAGTCGTGAATGAATCCCTTTATGGTAATACTCACACTTTAAGCCCTGGTGAATCTTCAGTGTAAAAGCGCCACATTCCTCCTGTGCCTGCAGAAGCTGTGGATCTGCCTCCGCTGCGTGCACTGCTGCTTGTGGCTTTCCTGAGGGAAACAACAGACAACTTTAACAATATAGAGGTGTCAAATTTAATCAAATCAAGCTGAATGTGAAAACGCTGATTAGAGCCTGACTATCAGTTCTGCAAACAACTGTATACAACCTAATCATTGTGACTAAATAAACATCTTTAGGTCTGCTGATCAAACCACAGAATGTGACTGATATACTTCAAACAACCTTAAAACAAAAACTGGAGTGACGTCTTTAAAACAAAAACATGCTGAAGAAAATTTTTTAGCAGTTCAAAAGAGCCCAAGCAAATAGCACAGACAAATTTCACTTGGAGGGTTAACACTGCCTTCTTTGACTTGCCTCAGCAAATAGAACGATGTCCAAGACATCAAGGGTAAAAGAACAATGACAACTTGTTTAATTCACCTTATTCTGCAATGCAAAGCTCTTCTCTATGATTGTTTTTGTACTTCTTATTGACTTGAAAATGGGGGAAATGACTATGAATAACAAAAACACAGTAAATAGTCAAACTACTTGCTCTACAAACAAGTTTGTAACTATAAATTAAGTAATAAAATAAGAAAACTGGAAGTGACTAAAACTGAAATTTTTGAACCAATATGGACTGCCTGATTGCTTTTATGTGAAAGAATAAGTTCAACAGTTAAAATTGAAGAGTAGTTCTACATGAAAAAAACTGTGTGTGTGTAGTGTCCATGTTTCTGTAAACCTGCATGCTTTAAATGAATCTACAGCATCAAGTCCTATATAAATAAATGTCATGGTCGGAGTAGTGCGTTGACACATGCACTCTGGTGCTCACAGTGACCCAAGTTCAATTATTTCCTATACATAAAAAAACCACAGAAAAAAATAAATGAAATAAGCATCATGTAACATGACTGGAGTGCTATTATCAAATGCTTTCTTAACTGTCGTTTTCTCACCACTGTAAATTTATTTTTTATGGAAAGGAAGCTGCAGTGTAAAATGACTTTCTGCAAATCTATCTGCAGCATGAGGATTCTCACTAATAGTATACCACTGGTTAAGAATTTAGAACTTATATTTAATCCTAAATAAAGAGAAAGATAAATCTCACAGCATTTCAGGACATTTTAAGCCCAAGCAAAACTGTTCTTGCAGGATTTTTACCTTTGTCTGGCTGAGGTACCAGCAGTGCGGGGAGCCACCGTCTTACTGGGGGAACGGCTGGAGGCACCAACATTTGTTGCACTAGCTGCGGGTCCAGGCTGAAAATTAGACAAAAAAAAAACTTGCTAAACCACACAGTGAACAAAAGATTCATGATGCTTCCATCCTTAAGCCATACCCTTTTAGAAAAGGTTAATAACGCTACAGAAGATACTATAAAGGAGTTAATAATTTAATTAAAACTCAAATATTACCAACTGTCTATCTATTTAAGACAGATATCATATGGGACTACAAAACGTCTTCATAAACTGCTGTAGAAAAAGTTATAAAACATAATGTTAAAACCTAGACTATAGTGACAAAGTAGCATTTACACTTGATGGTAAGCTAGTATTCATGCTGAACGAGAGTCAGATTTAGACTTCAGAGCTAGTGTGAAGGACCAAAAGAGCCACGTCTGCCAAACAAACGCAGTGATTGCAGCTGTTGTTCAAACCAACCCAAAACAGTACACATTAATCGTGTGACACGAGACTAAATATTATATCATTAAAACCCCATTTGTCAATGCTTGAAACTCGTATATGAAGAACTGCTAAGTAAACATAACTAATGTTAGGCTCACTATTGCAATAACGGTAACTTACGTTGTTACAGAGCACTAACAGTTACAGGCTAGACTGCTAACAATTTAGATATAACTAACGCATAAAAACGCGTCGTACGCTAAATATAAAGCCTCATAGAGATTAATGGATGTATTAAGAAACTTACCATTGTGTGTAAAGCTGTGTTTTAGACGACTGGCAAAAAAAGGATGAATCTAGACTGACTCTGACTGAACCCCAGCCGATGCAGACCACTAGAAAAGAAAGCCTAGTGATGACGTCTCGCTGAGAAGGCCACGACAGCTAAAGAAAGGACCTACATAGAAGCCAGTAGCGTGCCTGATCTAAACCGTGAACCTGAGCTTTACCTTTTAACGAATTTAAGATGTGCTTTGATTCTATATTTGACAGAAGTGCCCCGACGATTCTAATACAAATTAACAAAACTACCCGATGCTGCCTGGCTTCAGAGTTTATTTTGCGAAAAACTTAAGGCGGGATTAGGTAGTGCAGTGACGTGTCAAATGCGATGGGTGATGTGTACCGAATTGGGCAGACATTTTGGCTCAATCAGGAAACCAGTTTCCTTAAGTCGCCAACTTTGTGCCATATTTGTTAGTCATTCAAACAAACAGACAGACGAGTTTGTGTCAGTGAACGTGAAAGGTAAGCGTTTTCTCGGAACAAAAATTTTAAAGGTCGTTAGCTAATATGGTGGCTTTTACTGAGTCGGTGTAACCTTAAACAAAACATGAAGTGATGTTACATTGTATTTAATAAGTAGCAAGGTAAATACAATGTCTAGACTTAAATGTAACTTAATATATGCTATTGGGAATTAAGATGACTATTTCTGCTCAGGATAATCAGTCGAGCTTGTTTATACACATATCTGTACAAGTTTAAAAACGTAATAACGTATAATAACTCTATAATAAAGCCTGTGATAGAACGTGACCCAGTGACATGAAAGCATGAACGCGCGTAGGGGCGTGTGCGCGCTCTGGCCTGTTGTAACAACACAGTGACGTGACACACTTGATGCGATTAATTATCCAATGCATTCGTTTATGTATGCGACTTTTTAATCTTATTATGGGGATAATTTTGAATTCATAATTAAGCAAAATCTGACATAAAATTTTTTTGGGGGAAATCTTTCGTTTACATTAAGGTAAAATTGAAATGGTCAAATGTCGGTGTGTGACCGATTGTATGTCGTTTACTCTCATTTTACCCTAAATTTGTGTCCAACCCGATTAGGTTACTTTCTGTTGTTGAACACAAAAGAAGATATTTTAAGATATTTTACTTCCACCTTAATAATAGGGTTCAGTACGTCTGGCTACATACTTCCCAATATCTTCTTTTATCTCAATATCAGTGTTCACCTTTTCGAGAGTGAGTAAATGTCTGTAAATCCTCTTTTTTGGGTGAACTCTCTCTTAGAACAAGTGTGTGTGTAAGAAGTTGAAAATTGAACAATGTATTTGCCAAGCTTAATAATGAGGCAGCGAAAACTCCCCTTTGACTCTGCAGGTTCCTGTCAGGACAGTATGGTTCGGGTGGTGTTCCTGCACCCTGATCTGGGTATAGGTGGTGCAGAGCGTCTGGTGGTGGACGCGGCTGTAGCTCTGCGCTCTCGTGGATGTAGTGTTCAGATCTGGACAGCGCATTATGACCCGCAGCACTGCTTCTCCGAGACTCTCTCTCCTGACCTGCCGGTGGTGTGTGTGGGCGATTGGCTGCCCACCAGTGTGTTTGGTTATTTCCACGCTCTCTGTGCTTACCTGCGCATGATCTACTTAACTATTTATCTCGTGCTCTTTAGTGGAGAGGAGTTTGATGTTGTCTTCTGCGATCAGGTAACTATTAATTATCAGAGTTATTTTTGCATCATTTTGAAATCTTTCTGTCGACAGAATTTTGTCAATGAATAAGCCATTGCCACTTTTCTGGCAATCAATATTTTAACTTGTGTGTGACAGGGTGCATCATTACACAATATCTGAACTAATCTCAAGAGAAAAACAGAAACAAGCCAATTGCAGTATTGCTTATGAACATGTGGACTAACATTCAGATGAATCAATCAGTATTACATACAGTTGAAGTCAGAATTATTAGTCCTCCTAAACTATTAGGCTCCTTGTACATTATAAGAATGTTGGTTGAATCATCATATATATATATATATATATATATATATATATATATATATATATATATATATATATATATATATATATATATATATATATAAAAATACAGTTGAAGTCAGAATTATTAGCCCCCCTTAATTATTAGCGCCTTGTTTATTTTTTTTCCCCAATTTCTGTTTAATGGAGGGCAGATAGTTTCAGCCCATTTCTAAGTATAATAGTTTTAATAACTCATTTCTAATAACTGATTTATTTTATCTTTGACATGATGACAGTAAATAATATTTTACTAGATATTTTTCAAGACACTTCTATACAGCTTACAGTGACATTTAAAGGCTTAACTAGGTTATTAAGGTTAACTAAGCAGGTTAGGGTAATTAGGCAAGTTATTCTATAACGATGGTTATCCGAGACTATCAAAAAAAAAATTAGCTTAAAGGGGCTAATAATTTTGTCCCAAAAATGGTTTAAAAAAAATTAATAACTGCTTTTATTCTAGACGAAATAAAACAAAACAAAGACTTTCTTCAGAATAAAAAATATAATCAGACATACTGTGAAAATTTCCTTGCTCTGTTAAACATCATTTGGGAAATATTTAAAAAAGAAAAAAAATTAAAAGGGGGCTAATAATTCTGACTTCAACTGTGTATTATATATATATATATATATATATATATATATATATATATATATATATATATATATATATATATATATATATATATATATATATATATATAATACACACATATCTTACGTCAAAACTTTTATTTTGGATGTGATTAATATAAAACTGAATCCTTAAAATGATAAATCACAATGTGCGGATATGAACAGGATCTTGATAAAGCTCAGTTTTCACAGGACACAAAGGCATATCACTGTATAGGGATGGACAAATAGAGATAAAGATGTTCCATCTCTGGATCAATGTGTACGTGGCACTAATAGTTTTTTTAATCCGTGTTTATTCTGTTACCCTGCTCTGGATGCAGTGTTTGGATTTTTTTTCTTTTCCCAAAATGTGTGTGTTTTTTTATGAGAGTTATATATTGATTTTTTTTTTAAAGACCATGAATGTAGATGAGTCTAAGCAAATAAATTAGATTAATATGATGGTGAGTTAGTCATCATGGCGAATTCTATAACTGTTTATGGCAAACAAAAATTATATTTAGATATTGAACATGTAGTACTGGTTAATCATCTCGCCACAAGATAAAACTCTGACATAAATCACCAGTTTTGTATCACCTTTCCGGCAAAGCTTAAAATGTAAATGAATAATTGCCAGATCAAAAACACATAAAAATATGCTGTGGCAGTAAATTGACCATGCAAGAGGTTTGTTCCAAGTCAGATACTGCATCCTAAAAAGTTCGCAATCAAAGACTGATTGTGGTACTGCTGCACTACAAATGCTGTCATAATGCAAAGGCTTCTTCAGACGCAGCCTTCAAATGCGTCATTTGTTATCTGGAAAATGTTTCAGTTTAAATATTTTTTTCAGTTTCCTTAATAAAACGTCCCAAATACAAAAACTTAAATGGGTTTCAAATGTCAACAGAAGCTGTCACGGTTGAAGACTAGAGCAGTCATTCGCAGTCCTTTCTATTTGAGAATGCTTGGTTTAGCCTTAATGGATTTTGTATTGGAAAGCAGCTAACTTAAGCTTTCCCAGAACAATGATGTCACTAAACTGTCTCGGGCAAATGTCTAAAAGAAGTTTCTGTATGGCCTGATAGAGCAGTTCATTAGTTACAGCCCATTTAAATCAGACACGGAAATAAAGTGAGAGAGATACTGTATGTGTGAATTACTTGCATCTGTGGCCTCTTTATACTAATAAACTACAGATGATGTGACTTTGATTACTCCTAAATAAAGATGTCTCCCCTTTTTGTAAATGTATAGAATCAGTGGCAAAGCTGTTTTATCAAAAAAAAAAAAAAAAAAAAAAAGAGCTGTGCTCCTGATTGTTTCTGTGCTTTAATCCGATGTATTTAGTCCTAAAGTGCCTGTGCATTCTGTGATTCCACAGTATTCAGACAGACCATGGAATAAATCTGCATGTACTCATGCTCATTCTGTCTTACTCATTCTGTCTAACACCACTCAAATTAAGCACTGCCTTCAGGGGCTTTTTTACATGCATGATTCTGTTATCCTCAGTGGGGTAAAGTAACAAAATACTCAAAATTACTGCAATTGAGTATTTTTTTTTTTTTTAGGTATTGTAATTTACTAATTAATTATAAAGTACTTCTATTTTCTCTTGAGTACATTTTTGTTGTTTAAATTCATTCATTCATCTTCTTGTCGGCTTAGTCCCTTTATTAATCCAGGGTCGCCACAGCAGAATGAACCACCACCTTATCCAGCAAGTTTTTTACGCAGCAGATGCCCTTCCAGCCCTTCTGGGAAACATTCACACACACATTCATAAACTATGGACAATTTAGCTTACCCAATTCACCTGTACCACATGTCTTTGGACTGTGGGGGAAACCGGAGCACCCGGAGGAAACCCACGCGAAGCCATGGAGAACATACAAACTCCACACAGAAACGCCAACTGAGCTGAAGTTCTAACCAGCAATCCAGCAACCTTCTTGCTGTGAGGCGAACGTGCTACCCACTGCGCCACTGCCTCGCTCTGTTGTTTAAATTACATTTTTTAAATTACAATACTATGAAGCAAGATTTAAAATTAAGTAATTCAACACAAAAAGGACAGAAAACATGTTTTATATATATATATATTTCTTTTATTATAGCCTTTAGCAGGCACCAATCACATTTAAACAAATTTCTTCTTTAATATTCTGATACAAAATGTTATATAATATCCTAAATTGTAATATGTAATATAAAATGTATAAGAAACATTTAGCCAACAAAATAACCTTGGCTCTTAAGAAAACTGATCCCCAAGCAATACCTGTAGGACGTTAACATCCTTTTTTTTACCAATTGAGTATAAACAGCTTTCTTCACTTTGGTACTCCTATTCAAAATGTAAAAGTTTAAAATGTATAGGAAACATATAGCCAACAACATAACATGCATAACATTCAAGCTCTTGGGAAAACCAATTCCCAAACTGTGCCGAAAACACGCGGTGATACTTCTTGTTGTTGTTTTCGTATGGTGACATCCAAACGCACTACCGCCACCTACTGATATGCACGAAGTGACTCTCCAGAGTGAGAGTTGTCGATTTGAAGCGTCTCAGTCTCATTGAATCAACATGTTCTGATCAAATTCATTTGATTATTTCTTGATTCAGTTTCAAATAACATGAATTAATCATTTAACATACGTAAACTTGATTTGTTCTCTTCAATCTGACAAATTTTTATTTTGTAAATCCAATACATACCTAGTTGATTTTT